GTTTTAACAGGATTCCTTCCATTCCACAAATTTTCAGCCACCGGGATGAGTCTGCCGGGGCCGGTTTATTTATTTGGGGGGGGGCGGGGAGGAAGACCGAACGGCGCATGCTGCATTTCTTAGGGGGGAAAAAAGAAATTTTTTTATTTGGTGGTAATGTGCTGAATTAACAGATGTACAACAGAGGGCAAAGGGGGCCGAATTGGGGTTTTGGGGTTTGTTTTTTTTTTTTTTTGGCTGTGTAGGCACAGACAGGGCCTGGCGCCTGGGGGAGGGAAGGATAAATATGGAAAAAATATTTGGAAAGTGGGGGAAAAAAAACCCAGGATTTTACTGAAATCGTCTTTTCTGAGTTAAGCAGAAACCGCGACGTGGCGGCAGAGCCAGGGGGAAAAAGAAGAAATTTGTCGATGCTGAGAAACGGGACCGTTTTTGCACTGGTGAGTGCGGGTTTAACCATTTTCCAGTCGTTATTTTAACTGAAAAAAAAATGGGAGCGTGGAGCCTCCGGATCCCCCCGAAGCTGCACGAGTTCATCCAGCTCCCAAGTGGGAGGTTTGAAATGTATTTTTTTTTTTTTTTTTTTTTTTTAATGGGCGCATTGAAAATTGTCTGGAAACAGGGAAAAAAGAACGCTGAAGTCAGCAATTCCAGGACTTTTCACAAATCCAGTGGTTGGAGTGGGAGCATCTGTCGGCGTACCAGATGCCATCGGGCCCGATCCTGCCGCAGTCCTTCTGGTCCTTGTCTTTGGTGTCCTTCCACGTGTTCCAGTAGCTGGAGAAAGGAGGGGGAAAATAAGGAGAAAAAGGAAAAGAGAAAATAATAAAGAAATGAAAACGAGCTTCGCAGCAGCAGAGCGCTCTCAGGAAGAGGTAAAATTCGTATTTCCAGGGAAGGAAACCACTAAAACGCTCCGGTGGTTTTTTTTTTAACACCAATAAGAAAGCGCTCCGATAATTCTATTTTTCCAATGTAAACCCTTTGACTGACGTAAAACTACCAAAACCCAAAGTTTCGGTGGGTCGGCTTCACCTTTTTCCCCGTTTATTTTCTGATTATTTTCCGGTTTGGGGGAATCTTTTACCTGATACTTGGATATTCGCCATTTGTCCAGACCCAGTTGCCTTCCTCCAGCTGATCTGTCACTCCCAGCCAGTACGTGCTGCTGCTGTTAATATTCTCCTTCAGAAATGTCTAGAAAAGCAGAATTAGTTAAAAAAAAAAGCCCCAAAACAATAATTCCGGTGGACTATGGCGCATCTCGAGGCTTTTGGCGATTAAGGTGAGGTCATCGCCGCAATATCTGAGCGGTGTTTTTTGGTAAATAATGAAGAATTTGGGTGCAAATTGCATACGCAGCACTCCGGAAAGGCGATGCCGGCCTTTTTTTGCTCCATTTTTAGCGTTCTTTCCTAAAAACAGAAGTCGCAGTCAACTGAAGTCGGCCTGGCCATTGTCACTTCTCTCCACCTCCAAATAACTCTGAGCCCGATGGCCAACCTTGGCTAACTTGAGCCCCAAAAAAGAGGTTTTCAGAGTTCCTGTGTTAGCCAGAGTGGGAATTCGCTGAGAAAAATGGGTATTTTGGGCAGTGTGTGAGCCGAGAAACTGGTTTTTTTTTCACTCACAAGCGTCCAACTGACCTGCTCCTGGTCTGAGTTGATGATGACCAGGTGAGCGCCTTGGTTGGCGCAGATGTCCTTGGCGTCCGACCAGCTCATCGACTCCGTCGAGAAGGAGTAGCAGCTTTTCTCGAAGATCTTCCAGCCGGCCGAGCACCTCTTGCTATCCAGGACGGATCTGCAGATCAGCACTGGGAGGACAAGAAAGCCCCAAAACCCAGGCAAAAACCAGTTTTTTCTCTGCCAGGGAAACCTCCGTGGCTTCCCCGGCAGGGTGACATCTCAAAATTGGCGTGAATCACCCAAGTTTTCCATCCCTAAGACCACCCTGGTCTTTCTGGGCTAAAACCGGGAGGTTTCTCTCCTGGTGCACACGGACGGGAGACCACCGAGACGGAGACCGTGGCTTTACCTGCGATGTCCTGCAATTCCTCGTAGTATTTGCGCATCGTGGTCCGCACCCGCGTCTGCTCCTGTTGCGTCTCCAACAGTCCCTGCCGCACTGGGGAGCGCAGCGGGGTGAGCGCCGCCCGCCAGCCCCGCTCCCCCGACTTTTTCCCACTTTCCCCCCCCTCTGGTTTACCCAAATGTTGAGCTCTTGAGCTCTTTCCCCCGGGATTTATTACTTTTCCACGTGTAGAAATCTCAACCAGGGCTGCAAAAGCTCGTACATCGCTGGCTGCCAGCTTTGCTGCGTGGTTTTTTTACCTCTTTGGGTGACATTTTGCTGCAATTTCACCCATAATACAATTTAATCACTCATTTGGCAGCAGGTAAGGGTTTGGCCCATTATTTTTGACTTTTGCAGAATTTTCTGTAGGATTTACATCCTTCCCTTCCCGTAACCTTTAACAGAGATGATGGGGTGGATTTTCCCCCCAGTAAGATCCTAATCAGGATAAATCCTGTGATATCGCAAGGGCTGATTTGCTCCTATATGCACCCTTTTGGGGCTAATTCCTTTGGGATTGGGACGGGAGCTCAGTCGGTGTCCGATGTACACCATTACCCCAGAGGAACTGCCGGTGGAAATCAGAAACAAGTCAGTCGAAGTCGGCATTGCTTCGCCAAGAGACGGAGCAGAACCAGGAGCCACTCGAAAAGACAATTTGATTTTTTCCTTAATTTACACCAAAAGGCGAAAGTGGTGCCGGAAAAGAGCGCAACACCAAGAAATCATCTCCCAACCACCGTTAAACTTCTCCGTGGGGATGTGAGTCCGAGGACCTACCGTTGCCTTGATTCTCCGAGTAGTTTGACTTCAAGTGCTCTAACTCCGCCATGATTTCCCTCTCTGAAATGAAAATGAAAGAAAAACCATGGCTGGATCGTACCAAGGAATCACAAGCGGCGTCTAAATTTGCCCAATTTATGGCTTTTTTTGGGGGGGGCTGAGTGGGGAATTCCAGAGTGGATTTACTCTGGATTTACACCCTGTAGCAAACGGGGAGTGTTGCTGGTGCAGGCAGAAGGAGGCAGCACCCGGATGTAGCGCGATGGGGGCAATTTGGTGATAAAACCCTAAAATTCACATATCGAGGTGGAATTAAAACCAAACCGTGATGACGGACGGGCTTTAGCTGTGGTTTCCATGTGGATGGACGCTTAAAGCATCACGGGCACGAGCCACGCGTTCTTTTTTTAACAGTGAAAATGCTATTTTTTGGGGGGGTCTTTTAACCAAAGCAGCCGTTTCCCGGCCCGGCGGGGACCCTTCTAGGGACACTTACGCTTCACCATGGTGAGCGCAAAGAGCGGGACCCACGCAACGAAGCTCAGGGCCACCAAGATGTAGAGGACAACCACCGACGTCATCCTGCGGCTCCGTCCCCTGCCACCTCTGGGCTCCGGATCACCTGCGGAAAGCAGCGTGGAAGAAATCGGGGAGGAATCCCAGCTTCCCGGCTCTGGATCCAGCCAAGGCATCTACTGCAGGATAGCGGCATCGGTCAAGAGCAACTCACCCTTTTGGGAAGGATTTGGAGACGCCGGTTTCCCCGCCAGGATGTAAACTCCTGTTGGGAGGAAGGAAAGGGTCACTGCGGGATGGTTTTGGGGCGGTTTCGGGCCAATTCTTGCCCCGCGGAGGTTCTTGACCGCACGGGTGAAGCGGGGAGAGGAGGCGGGCGCTACCTGTGCCTCCTTTGCTCTTCTGGCTCTGCAGATCTTCGTTGGCCGCCGGCGGCTTGCAGCCACGGTCCGACCCCGACAGGGAGACGTCATCGTAATCGTCCTCGAAGCTGTCTGGGGATGCTACGCGAGAGGAAAAATGGGTGAAAATCAGGATATTTTTTTTAGGCCGACTGGGAATCCTGTCCGTTAACGATCCGCTGGATTCTTTGGAAAGCGCAAAAAAAAATAAAATTCAATTCCTCTTTCCCCTTTGGTAAATCTGCAGCGCCTCCAGCAAGATTTTTACAGCCTTTTCGCAATATATATTGATTTTATCATTTTCATATATAGCACTGCTCTGCTCTTTCAGAGCCGAGCTCTCCCCTCGGCTGCAAATCCAAGCAATTCCGCTGAAGTTTGAAGCTCTCCGCGGCGGGAGGGGACGGGTTTGAGCCTGCGAAGGTGCAAACGCCAGCTCCGAGAGGGAGGATGGAGGGAGAAATTCGCCCCCAGTCCCCCCAGCATGAGATTTTTTTTGGGAGGGGGGGCAATTTGCTCTCGTTTGACAGAAGGAACTAAATTCAGAGAGAAACGCTGCGTATAGTGAGACACGTTTGACAAACCAAGCTGAAAATAAAGCCCAGTTTGGCCTTGGGGAGGCACCTCAGGGAGTTCTGCTTTCCATCCCTGCTACAAAAAAGCCTGAAAAGGTGAAAAAATGATGACTTACCCGGTCTGAAGTCACCCATGGGCGTCATTTTCCCAGCGACGGAGTAAATTCCTGCCAAAAAAAAAGGAAAGA